CTCAGGGTGTCTGTCGGGATCTGCCTTAGTTCCCTTTCCCTGGGATGTGGCCTAGAATCTCTATATTGCTGAGGCAACCACAGGATTTATTCATCTTGTTTATTTCACATCTCTCAGAGATTATTGTCCTTTGTTGCCTGTTGTCTAGTGTCTTGAAAGCCATTTTTTCATATATTTTCTAAGGTTTCTTTCGTGTTTTTCAGTAGGAGGATAACCAAAAACCACATGTTGATTTTTGCTCCTATGAACTCTGCAGGGTGGCTCTTAACTTTTGGTAGCATTTTTCTGTACTCATTTACTAAACTCTACAAAGGATTAGTGAATAATACTGTGAAAAAGGAATTTTAGGTTGCATTTTAGAGATAAGAAAATAAATGAGGTAAAGTCTCACAATCAGTACATTGCAGAGTGCAGATTTGAAAACATTTATTTGAGTCAAAATCTTTGTTCCAGAGTATAGGTGCAGTGAGTGCCACTATAAACAAGGGAAAACTACTTGCTAGAGATTTTAACACATCTAGTTAACAAGAATTTTAGGATTGAGTCTCAGACTATTATTAGCTTTGTGGTCTTGGAGGAGTTATGTTGCCTTATTTTTAAAGTCTAAGATATGGGGACATTAAAACCTAAATCATAGGCTTCTCATGAGTTAAAGAAGATAGTGGCTGTGAATGGGCTTCATACAGTTCCGAAGACTGTGAAAGAGGGGACTTGACTCCTGGGCCTTTTGATTCCAGACTAGACCTGGACACAAATGCAGCATAAGGATAGGAACTGTGGGGACCATGGGGCAGGAGGTCACAGGTCAGTTGCCATTAAAAGAGACCAGGGCAGCTGAAATTCTGGCTATTGCCACGGGCGGGAACTTGAGCTCTGAGTACATATTTTGTAATTTTCTAAAAGAAACTAAAAACCTGTTTGTTTTATGAATTCTCTTGACTTGTAAGTGTGGGGATCTAATTAAAACAGAAACCATGTGGTCTAAACAATGTTGTTCTTGACTGCAGGTGAAAGAAGTGTGGGCCTGGAGTTCCCATAGTACCAGGCTGCGAGCCAGGCTGGCAGGAAACAAAGGCAGTCAGTTGGGCCTCCCCTGGGAGCTGCAGTCCAGTGGCGAGAGAAGCCTTCCACAAGGTAGGCAGTGCTATAACAGGATTTGGCATAATGGGATTTGACCCACATTATCCTTGAACTCCTTAGGCCTAGACTTGCAGAGCTGAAATTGAAACAGTAAAGCAATTTTTGGTACACAGAGGGGATGTCCTGGGAAACGTTTGTAGGCCTTTAATGTTTCCTTAGGGCTTTTGCTATCTCATTTGATTCATCCTGTTAAATGAGCAGTAATCCCATTTTCCTGGTAGGGCTTCTCAGGCTCCTAGAGAATGGGAGTCTGAAAGTCCTGCAAAATGGGACAAGGGAGGGGCTAGCCTGGGATTTAGGTCTCTGGAATCTCTTTCCTACCTTGCCACACAGTGGCACTGGGGATATTTGAACAGCCAATATGCACACTAACCTCATCAGATCTTCCACTCAGCCCTGTGAGGCCAATCTCATCATCCCCACTTGAGAGCAGTAACTGAGGCCAAGTGATAACAGGACTCACCTAGAGACACATATCTGGGAAGCTCAGGAAAGGTTCCAAGGAGTGTCCTTGAGCTCCTTGAAGTCACCTGCAGAACATTTTGTTTTCACTTTAGTCCATTTCTCAGGGCAAAGAGCCCCAAACTCTCAACAGATTCTCAAAGGGATCAATGATTCCCAAACGGCAGAGCACCACTGTCTCAGTTACTTCTCTCATTGCTGAAATAAAATACCCAACAGTCAAAGTTAAAGGACGAAAAGTTTTTTTTATTTCATGGTTTATAGTGGTTTCAGTCCATAGTTGGCTGGCTCTAAGGCAGGGCAGCATGGGAGAGGGACATCATAGAGGAGAAAACAGTCCATGGCAAGATTGTGAAAGGCAACCAGCAGTGAAGCAGCAGCGGCAGCAGCAGCAGCAGCAGCAAGCCTCCCTTTCCCTTTTATCCCAACCAGGATATGAGCCTTTTGGGTGGTGCCACCTACATCTAGGGTAGGCCTTTTCATTATCCATATCCAGAAATATGCTAAAACAATCAGTGGACTAATTTACTTATCATACCCTTAATCCATAGTCAAATAGCCTTCATCCATATTCACACACCCTTAATCTACATTCACACACTCTAGATCCAGCCATCTTGAAAAACCCACCCATGAGTGCATGAGGCTTTGGGGGACACATCTAGATACAAGCCAAAACCACCACTGATTTAAAGCTGAGGGCTTTTTGACTCCAAAGACTCCCTCTACTGGATCCCAGTTAGGAAAGCGTTCTCTAAAACTCTTGGGAGATCTGGGTCTGTATCCTGGCTCTACCGCTAACTAGCAATGAGATCTCATTTTCTCACCTGTTCATTTATTCAACAGATATTTTATGGTGTGCCTGCCTCTGATTCAGCCACTGTCCTAGTGCTGAGGACTCAACAATGAATGAAACCACCATTGCTGCTGTCATTAGTCTTCTATCCTGTGAGGGGATATGATAATAAACAGGTACATATAGAATATTTCGAAGTTTGATAAATGCTATGGAGAAGAATGAAGTGCAGTAAGGGGGACCTGTATCACAGTGGGTGGGGCTGGGCTATTATTTTATGTCAGGTGGTCTGAGGAGCTTTACTGATGACCATTTAACAGAGGCTTGGATGAAGTGAGGAGTGACGGAGTTTTCTGGAGAGAGAGCCCATCAGAGGCAAATGGGGGAATGACTGGAGGTGTAGGGAAAGGTAAAGAACTCTCTGTGGCCCACAGGAGAAAGTTGGAAATCCTCAAATTGGCACTCAAAATTTGCCTCAGTCTGGCTCCTAATTATTTTCTGATCTTTTGAAAATCATTTTATTTGCTCTTCCCTTAAGGGTCTTCTTAAGCCTTTTAAAAAATATAGCTTTAGCAATAAGGGCAGCTCATTTAATATGTAGTCACCAGTACCCACTGTGTACTGTCTGGGGAAGGAGAACATGATGAATGAGACGAGATGAGACCACCCAATGGCTATTGGAGCACAGACGAGGAGGTAGCTAGCCCTGACAAAGAGGGAGAGGAGGTTTGCGTAAGGCTTCAGCAAAGAGGAACATTTGCATGGGGTCCTGAGGAATGAGTAGGAGTTTTCCAGGTGGCTAAAAAGCAGAGGAGATAGGATATTCTGGGAAGCACTAACTGCAAAGAGCATCCTTGCCAGGAAATTACCACTTTTTAGCTGTTAAATATACTTTGCTATTTTATACCCCACATTGTGGGATAAACAGAGGTAACTTGTAAGAATCTACAAGTCTGGGAAGGTAAACAAATCTAGCTGACTCAGTAGGAACTGACGATAATTGGACAATAAATGTTCTACTTTAAGGGGAGCAGCTGATTTTGACTTTGTAGAACTTCATGCTTCATGTTAGTTAATCTTATTTTAAAAATTGAATTATAGGGTCAGGGATTTAGCTCAGTGGTTTTGCCGTCTGCTGTGCAAGCGCAAGGACTGGAGTTCGATCCCTGGTACCAAAAAAAAAAAAAGTTGAATTATAATTTACATTTAGTAAAATTTACTCTTTTTATTGTATAGTTGGTGAGATTTAACAAAATTTATAGTTTTATAGCTACCACAACAATGAAAATATCAACTAGTTCTATTACCCTTCGAATTTCTCCACACCCTTTAGAGACATCATTTCCCTCCACCCCAGTCCCTGGGAAGTATTATTGTTTTCTGCCCGTATATTTTGTCTTTGAAAGAAGGTCAAGTAAATAAAATGTAGCCTTTTGAATAAATCTGGCTGTTTTTACTTAGCATGGTGCAGGGAAGTTATATTAGTCATTCATTTCTTTTTATTTCTGAGTGTTATTCTATTCAGTGGAGTTTATTTATCCATTCCCCAGTTGAAGGACATTAAGATTGCTTTCTAGTTTTTGGTGATTACAAATAACAACCACTATAAAAATTTGTGTGCAGGTTTTTGTTTGAACATGGGTTTTCATTTTACTTGGGGAAATACATGGTAGAGAAATAGCTGGGTCACGTAAGTTTATGCTTGACTTTATAAGAAACTGCCAAACTGTTTTCCAAAGAGTCTGTTTGTACTATGCTGCATTCCCACCAGCAATGTGTGGTCTAATTATTGTGGGTCTTTGTCAGCCCTTGGTTTTGTCAGTACTTTTTTGAAGAGACCATTCTAATAGCTGTGTCATGTGCTTGGATTGTGGTTTTAATTTGCATTTCCTAAAGCCTAATTATGTTGAGCATCTTTTCATGTGCTTATAAACCATCTGTATATCTTCTCTGGTGAAGTATCTACTTGAATTTTTTGCTTATTCCATTTTTTCTTTTTCTTATTCCATTTAAAGTGTTCTTTTTTGGTAGCAAATTTATTGAGATATAATTTGCATACCATAAATTTATTCACTTAAAGTATACAATTCAGAGATTTTTAGTATATTCACAGAATCGTGCAATCATTGCCACAGTTCATTTTAAAACATTTTCATCATCTCAGAAAGAAACCTCACCCTGTTTAGCTATCACCTCCTAATTCCCCCTGATTCTTTTTCTAGCCCCAGCTCCAAGCATCTATATCCTTACTTTCTCTATGTATATGGATTGGCCTAGTTTGGACATTTCATATAAATGAAATAATATAATCTGTGGTCTTTTTTGACTTGGGGCCTCTTATATATGAATATTCTGAATATGATATTTTTGTCTTGAAAAGATCAACTTTTTGTTTTCTGTTTTATTTTTAAAAATTTATTTCATTAGTATGTATGCATAGTACATAGTGTTTACATTCCTTGTTGGGAGTTGGTCCATGTATGTAATACATCTGAATTCCTTTTTTCCTCCCATTCCCCTCCCTTCCCTCCCCCTCCACCCATCTTTTGATTCCCTTCCTTTTATGAATATGATTTTTTTAAAAAAATCAGCTATTGTTTATGATTTGCAAATATTTTCTCCCAAGTCTGTGGCTTTTGTTTTCATTCTCTAGATAATGTCTTTTGACAAGCAGAAACTCTTAATTTTGATGAAGTCCAATTTATCAACTTTTTTGTTTATGGTCATTGTTTTATTGTTACAATTTGCATAACCTGTGATCACAAAGATTTTCTGCTCTGTTTTCCTTAAGAAATTTTTTTTCTAAAGAGATACCACATATCCATTTTCCTTGTGAAATGTTCCAATTTGTAATATTAAAATATAACCTGTCTAGGACTGGAAGATGGCTATCAGTTTTCATACATTAGTTTATATTATGTGTAGTATAATATTTGGCCATAGCTGGCCATTTTGATCTATAAAACAACTGTTTCATATGTTTCAACCTCATGCCCTTTGTAGGTTATTAAATTATAGGCAATCAATTGAATCACAGATATCTGCATATATAGTGGCAAGCCTTCATCTGTTTTTTGTTTTTTTTCTATTTGGGTCCCATGAGTTTGCTAAATAATGAGAAAACCAAGGCCTAATGAAGTGAAACATCTAGTTTGAAGACATTCATCACGACTCCTTTTCACTGTATGGATTATGAAGCTCAAAGGTCACCTGGCTCTGTACTTTCTAAACCCAGAACTCCACAAAACTTACTTGAAATTCATATTTTAAAACATATGTTTAACTGTTCCAACATTATAATAAGTTGTTATAGTTTGGATCATGAACATTTAAACACTTTGTTCCCTTGGGTGGTGCTATTGGAAGGAGGTAGGCCGTCAGGAGGTGATGCTTAGTGGAAGGTCTCAGGTCACTGGTGTATGCCATTGAAGGGACTTATGGGAGCCTGATCCCTTCCTCTTTCTCTTTGCTTCCTGGATTGTGATGTGAGCAGTTTTGTCCACCATGTGCTCCCATTATGACATGCTGCCTTGCCACAAACCTAAGATATAGGATTATGGCCTGGAACTCCCCAAAACTGTGAGCTAAATAAACCTTTTCTCCTTATAAGTTAATTATCTGAAGTATTTCATTATAGTGGTGGAAAGCTGACTCACATGGAAAATATTATAAGAGATGTTGGGTATGTTGTGTGGTAATGTTTAACATTTTGGAGATGGCTAACAGAATTTCTTCTGCTGTTTACTCGTCAGCAAGTTCAACGCTAAAGTTTCTCTTGTTATAGCCATGTAATTAAAGAGAATCTTGAAATTGCAAACAAAGCAAGCTTTTAAATGCTGTTAGCATTTCTAATTCTTATTCCTTGGCAACCAGGGATTTTCTTAATGTTTGCAAACTAAAACATTTAAAAGTTTTACAGCTTCAAAATTTTGGCACTGGGATTGAAATATGACTTTACCTTCATCCATAATGTCTAATTTTTTATCTTTTCATCTGTCATTCATAATGCCAGATTTCTTAATTTTTTTGATTCATCAAAACAATCTCCTTGGTCTCAGTGCTTGACTTGTGTTATGGTTTGGATCTTGAATGTTTCACAAAGTTCCACATATTAAAGGCTTGGTCCTCAGCCCATGGCACTGTTGGGAGGCAGTGGAATTTTAGGAGGTGAGGCCTAGTGGAAGGAAGTTAGTTCTTTTGGGGCACGGCCTTGAAGAAGATATTGGGACTTTGGCCTCTCCTCTTTTCTGTTTGCTGCCTGGGTACCATGGGGTGAACAGCCCTCTTTTGTCCTGCTCCTGGAATGATGTACTGTATTGTTACAGACCCTAGCAATAGGGCTAAGTGATCATGAACTAAAACTTCTGAAACCATGAGTCAAAATAAAACTTTTCTCCTTATAAGGTGACTAGCTCAGGCATTTTTCTCACAGTAACAGAAAACTAATATAACCTATAAGAAGTCAGTGTTATGGATTTTATAGCAGAGGCACCAAACTAGTGTCATTTTTTTTCTCTCTCTCTCCTTTCTTTCTTTCTTTTTATTTTTTAAGGAGGAGAGGTTTAATTTGGCTCACAGACATTTTCCTTTTCCCAGCAGAGGAAGAATTCATTTCTCAGTGTTCATTGCATTTGAATTGCAGCACGTGATCCGATGCTGAGGGCCCTGGGACATGGGCAGAAGTGGTATATGCTCTTTCTTCCCCTTCCCCAGAGACTCGTGCTTTGTTTGTAGTATCACAAATGGTGGGAGGGAAGGGAGCAGCTGGGGAGATGGAAGAGATCTGCCAAGAAGGGTTTCCTGGGCCACACTGAAGAGTGACACGGGCAAGAAACCTTTGTGAGTTGAACTGCTGAGATGTTCAGGTTTAGTTGTTATTACAGCAAATCTTGGTCTTTTTCTTACTAATGCTGGATTGAACAAGACAAAATTTCATAAATATAGTTCTTATCTGTGCTATATTAGGTCCCATATTATTTTTTGAAAAATAAGTTCTGCTGCTGTAAAAAATATCAGAACCAGTTTAAGTCCAAATCTTGCTGAGGCAGATCACTGAAATAAGACATACAAATGACACACACCTAAAAGTTACCCAACTTCATTAACAGTAAAAATAAAATACACCATCTTTCATTTGTTAAAGAACTAACAGCTGGTGGTGGGGAAACAGCACTTTCACAAGAACCTGGCAGGAGGACGGTGTGGTGGCCCAGACTTATTGGAGAATAATTTGGCAATGTCTATTAAGTCTAAAAATACAGAAGCTATTTGCCCTCCTCCTTGGAATTTATTCTAATAATAAACTCCAACAAACATGCAAAGATGCAAGTAAAAGGTCATTTGGTAGAGAACTATTTGTAATGGCAATGAAGAAAGATAGGAAGAAAGGAAGGAAGGAAGAGAGAGAGAGAGAGAGAGAGAGAGAGAGAGAGAGAGAGAGA